TTTCAAAACAGCTAGCCAAATTGCTCCACCTGGTGAGCCAAAAGGTAGGTTATGTACACGCTCTTATATAAAATCTAATGAACTAGGCACTCGCAGCACGACAGTAAGAAAACTCCCCATGTGCGCTTTTTCTTATTCGTCCTCTCCTCCTTCCCATTTTAACGTCCACAACGTGTTCCCAACCGTGCGTGTTTTTCCCCAACTTGTTATACAACTTCGTTCTTCATTTGCTTAACACGCGAGGGAAGTTGTGTCCACCCTGCACGATGCAAATATGAACGATAAGAACAGAAACAGCACGTGCTTAATAGCTGAAGGGCACCCCTGCTCGGATGATGAAAATGCCAAATTGGAAGGCGAAAGAAACATAAAAAATCTAACTGCTCTGTTAAATTGTTACACCAGTCACGATGCTCAGGATGACATCAGCGATTTTTTAGCTAGCTCCTATAGAGGCTTCCTAGCGAATTCTATATGTGAAGAATTGAAGTTTGCCTCTAGCAGAGATCTAAACCATTTAATCGCAGTATGCCTTGATGTCATTAGGAACAATCACCAAACATTCATATACCAAAATATTTATTTCATCAGCCTGAATACGTTATTTTTTTTGCTAAACAAAGTCTATAATATAAGTGAATACTTGGAATGTTTGTCGTGCAAATTGTTTTACGATTTAATATTTGTTAACCTTTCGGGTGAACACAATCATATTGAAATATTTGCTAAATTGAATTATATTAATTTTTTTATCTCATCGAAGATTTTTAGCAAAATCATAGAGACACCAAATGACGATGTTGGCACACCCCCGGTTAACAAAATTTTGAATCTCCTGTCTATCGCACAGTTAGATGATGAGAGGGAGACTCCCAATTCGGGAAGAAACAGGAGAATAGATAGTACCGCAAGAAGGGTAAGGAAAAACGTCACTCATGGCAATACAATTTTGACGAATGACGCACATGTGTCTCCTTTTTTAAGCGCCCCCCGCATTTTTCCGCATTTGCGAGATAGCCCTCTGCTCCCCCACGTGAATCTTCAAACTGGGGAAATATTCGGAAACCAGATTAATAACAAAGTGTTACTATATAAAAGACAGAGAACAGGTGCATACGAACACCCTTTTCAAGAGGGAAAAAAGAAAACTGATCAACGTAACGGTGACACTGACACGGCTGTGGTTCACCCGAAGGAGGAAATAATCTTTAAACTTTTCCAAACGGTTATTCAGTTGGTCATCAAATCTGACTTAACCATTTATATCATACACGAATGCATAAATTTGTTGCTAAATTTGTGTGAGAAATATCACCAGGAATTACTCCTCTATGATTTTCTGTGGCTACACAAGTTTTTCCTAAAAAATGACACAACCGAAAAGGCACAAGGTTTCATTGCCTTCATATTACAGCTAATTACAAAGAGTCAAAAGAAAACGCAAAAACGGCTATTTCTTAAGCTGTTAAACGATTTTGATTCTTTTTTGAACCTCATGTTTGTGTCCAGCTCGGATATACGCGTGTACGCGAAGGAGTGTCTACTGTCACTAAATATTGCGAACGCACCTTCGGATAGCGATGAAAAGGTGGTCAAACGGCGTGGTGATACCGCGGAAAGCAGAAGAACGTGTGACATAACAATCCATGCACAAAGTCAGTTTTGCAAAATGATAAATTTAATTTTGTTCCACATGGATTATATCAATCATCTTAGCACTGACCAACCTGTAGACGAAAACGCCAAAGAAAGCAAATATGACCAGTTTTTTAAAAGCAGAATCGGGCAAGATCCTCTGCTGAAAAGGTATATAAGCGATCAAGTTAATGTAAAAAAAGTGAACTTATTTCGCGGAGATAAAAAGGAGCCAGATAAAAATACCATCATCAGGAATAATATAGTCGAAATGGAAATTTTGGTTAAAACGTTGGACTGCCTTTTGGGCCTTGTTCCAGACGGGACCAGCGCCAGCGTATGCTTTATTTTTTTTTTCATACACATTTTGAAGTTAATTAAAAGGCTAAGTAAAAATAGGAACTTGCAATTTCCGAAAGAATTTTTCTTCTTTGTGAAACATTTATTCATCCAAGCAGTGTACGTGCTCGAAGGCGTAGACAGGATGGAGGACAAACTAGCAAATGGAGAGAACGGCCGATCCATAATCGATCACTTCAGCATCGAAAATGAAGCAAGCTATAATAAAAGCGGAAGTGAGACCCTATTTGAGCAGAGAGAAGTGCAAAAAACGATTGGACGGATCCAACGACGAGCTAAAGAGAGAAGCGAAAAACCGTTGCTTCTCCTGCTAGAGGAAATGTATTCCACAGTTCTATTCTTTTTAATGCCACTTGAGGAGAAGTGGACCTTCCTAAACTCGTCCAATTGTTATTTTTTCAAACAAGTTCTGCTAAGAGTATCTCATTTTTACTACAAAAAAAAGGCAAGTGTAAATATGATGAAGTTCTTTTTTTTGGACAGCGTTTTTAGAAGAATTAAAAAAAGGACCAATTGGAAATTGAGCCACAGGAAGGTGCACCATGAGCTTCATTACTGGCACCGTCATCCGTATGTTTATTTTCAAGAGGAGGGCACTATTTCGCTAAAGGGGCAGCTAAATTATAAGAGGTATGCTGCCCTTTTTTTCCAAAAGACGGAATATATATCGGGGGAGCAGGCCTTCCATTTTGCGTTTTGCCTAGATTTTCTAAAAACGTTTATTCTCTTTGATAAATCGATGAGTTACGATTCAAAGTGGGGAAAATATAAAAGGCTAATTATAAGCATATGCAAAGCTCCAATTTTTAAGTACAAGTTTTTCTTACCCTCAACGAACACAAGCAGTTGCTTCTCCCAGGCAGTTGCAGTTCTGCACAATGTCTATTTGGGGATTTATACGAGTGGAAGGGGTAAGAAATTATTGCATGAAATTTCTCTTCTGCTACTATTGTGCTGTGACAAAGCACTAAGAAGCATTAAGAGGGATAATGTTATTTTTTATGGGGAAAAGGTGGGGGGTCCTAAAAGGTGTTACAAGATGAGGAGAAGTTCCTGGGACGGATTCCACCATGAAGGCAGAACGAAGAGAGGTGAACATGAAGAACCCATTAAAATCGGAAATACGTTTGAAAAACCGTTCAAGGAATATTACTTAAATAATTCTTTACCTGTTTTTATAGAATGCTTGATCGTCTTAACAGATATAGTCAAATTAAGCATCATGGGGTGCTGCACAGTTGGCAACACGCAGATAATAATAAAGAAATCCAAAATTGAGAAAAGAAAAAAGAAACATGGTACCTATCTAAAGAGTGAAAGAAGTTTAATTCTCTTCACTCACAGATATATGAGCAATTTCTGTAAATGCCTCATGAAGAAAACGAGCCAGGATTTTTTCTACAGCGCTCGAAAGTATGTACTGAGTTTTATTCAGCATTTGATCGCACTGAACACCATTTTAACGCTCAAATATAAATTAAGAAGTCGCAATAATTTAAGCGTAGATAAAATTTTGAGCTTTTGTTTTTATAACATTTTGACCGATCATGATGTAAGCGTTTTTTCAATAATATATTCTATTGCCTTTTCCGTGAAAAATTACCTAACGTTATGCGGGGCAAAAGTGAAAAAGTCAAACCATTATCTGGCTGTGTGCGATGATTTAATATTCCAAATTGTTGATGAGTATTACTCCTACGATTTCCCGTAAGTGTTTATGCGGCCGTTTGTGCCGCGGTTTGTGTCACCCCATTATACTGTCCGTTTGTCCTTCCCGCGTGTTGCACATTTGCTCAATTGCAATTTCGTGAAACATTTAATTATGATGATGTGTTTGTTTTGCTACATGGGGATGCCACTCCGTTGTTGCTTAACGTAATGTAGAGCAGTGTCCAGCAGGGCTGTAAATGACGCATCCAGGCCCCACAGT